CTCTCTCTCTCTCTCTCTCTCTCTCTCTCTCTCTCTCTCTCTCTCTCTCTCTCTCTCTCTCTCTCTCTCTCTCTCTCTCTCTCTCTCTCTCTCTCTCTCTCTGCGCTCTTTAATTGTGATCCAACTGTTGAGCGAATAGTGTTTTTCCACACATTATAGCAGCAAAATGTCATCACTTTGTGTTTGGTCTCTATTTTGAGCACAAATATTCACTATAATCTCAAATACCTTCGACTGAATGTGTTTTGTATTTCTTACGCGACAATCCGTAGCGGAAGACCGCGCCGTCCTATCGTAAGCGCAGTGATCCCGCGCTCACCACTACACAGACCAACACTCTGGCCAACAACACACTGACGCACGACCCGAACGCCTCGCCGGGAGTGGCCGGAGGTTCGCCGACCACATCGTCGCCAGAGAAATGGGCCATCAGTTCGTCGGAGGACGAGGACGACCAAAGTCAGAGCGACGCCTACCAACACGGGGGCGCCGGTACGCCCACTAACAACAACAACAACACCTCTCCCGGCGGAACACCGCAGCACACCGTGGATGAGGACACACCGCCACCTCTGCCGCCCCGACCGCCGTCCGAAAAGCGCAAACAGATTCGCAACGAAATCATTGAGTCCGAAGAGAGTCACGTCGAACGGCTTAAGTTCATTCATCACGTCTTCTACAAACCCCTCCAAAAGGATGGCTTATTAACGGCCGACCAGTTGTCCGCCGTCTTCTCCAACACCAAGCGATTGATGAAAGTCCACAACAGGATCTGCAAAATGCTTAACGCGACCAACAAATCATTTGAACAATTAGTTTGTGATATATTCTGCGGTCCGTTGGGAAACCAATTGGAGGCCGAGGCGAGTGTGTTCTGCACGCGAACTCTCAACGGTATGGACACGTGGAGGGCCCGCAAGAAGGACTCACGACTCAAGAACTTTCTCGACCCCGAACTCCGCACGAAAGGCATTCCCGACTGCTCTCTCGCCAGACTATCGCTCGAAGACCTGTTGGCCGGTCTGTTCCAGAGGCCACTCCGCTATCCGCTCCTATTGGACCGCTTACTACAGGCCACGCCATCCGATTCCATAGAGTACGAGCAGATCGCCCGAGCGCTGGCCCGGAGTCGAGACATCGCCTCCCGTGTGAACGAAGAGACCCGAAAGGCTGAGTCCAAACAGCGCCTGTCGGTCATCAAAAGCAAGACAGACATCGCGGGCCCGAACCTGACGCTAGACTTCAACGACCAGAACCTGTTATACGAGGGACCGCTCACGTGGCGGATCACCAAACAGAAAGAGGTTCACGTCTGGCTAATACTGACCGATCGGATACTAGTAATACTGACCCGCGACTCGTCCAGTGATAATAAGTTTACGCTGAAGAACCACACGAACCCCTCCGTGAAGAACAACATGATGAACAACAAGACACAGCACTCGCCGATCGTACTCCTGCACGACCTGTTCACCCGAGACGTGGCCACTGACCAGAACTCATTCTTTCTCATATCGACAGATCAGGACGTGTTCTACGAATTCGCGGCCAATAATCCAAACGAGAAGAAACAGTGGAAGGAATCGATATCCAAAGCGAACAAAACTTCGCTAAACAAACAGCACGTCATAAAACTCAAAGACTTAACGTCTCAGCCCTCGGCTGAGGAAGAGATTAAACCCAAAGATGAAGAGTTAGAGCCCGAACGGCCCGACACGGAGGACGTCTCGGCAACCGTCGTGGTCGCCGGCGCTGCCGCCGCTCTGACCACTGATGACCAAAACAATAACAGTAACGCAGCGCCAGAGGAGTCACAACCGGTAGCGGGCGGTGAAGAGACCAACGAATCGCAGTCCACACAAACGCCCCGACAGTCACGAGTCGAGGGAATCATACGGTATGTGCGCGAAGACGAGGTTCGGCCACAACTCATATCACCGACTCGTGTGACGATATCGTCGGAGAACTTTGCCGAAGCGCTGGCCGTCCACTCACCCGAACACCGCATCAAAGAGATCGACGATTCGGTTCGGCATCTGTTGAATGAGAAGCGAAGTATATTAGCGAAGATGAGAGGTATTTGTGGTCACACTTTGTTTGTTTTGTAGTGATAATCAATGCGATTAACATTTGGGGTTTGAAACACAGGTATCAAAGATCAATACGAGTGGACAGTAGTGAGCGATTTGGGCGAACACGACGAGGTGTCGAGTGCGGCTCGAGAGGTGACATTCTTCGATAGAGGTATGTATTGAACAACACATGCATTGCATTCATTTGCGGTGACAGTGATTATAATGCTCTTTATTTGCGTCGACAAACAGCGATGTCTTTAGTGTCAACGCTGGGAACGACTGGTCTGACGGCCAACTCGTACGCGCCATTGGTTAGCCTACGCGACCAAATCGACGCACTTCTGGCGCGACTCACTCTCAGCCAAATGGACTCGAGAGCGGTGGCCGACGGCGCCGGCGGTCACGACGACAGCGGACGGTATTTGGGGGCCAATGAGAGCAGCGACGAGACGGCCGTTTACTTCTAGACATTACACACAATTGTAGTCCAACTTTATATATCTGTAAATAGACTTTATTTTATTTGTTGTTATAATTAATTAAAAATAATTTCATGCAAAACAAAGAGTAAAATCAAATAAAATGCGAAATATGTTTATTTGTTCACAAAATGTGTTAAATTGTTATTTAATGGTCACTCAAACCTATCGGTCGGCGTCTTCGTCGGAGAGCGCGTTGAACGCCAGTTGTTATCTCAATCACTTCCAGAAGACGTTTACGATATGGAAACAAGCATTTTGTCCGAAAATACGATTACATTAAAGTGATGGCTGAAGACTCGCACTGACCACCTGTTCAGACAAATATTTGCATACAGTGTGACAGTCAGTCATACTGTACTGAATATGAGTGAAAGTATTTCAGGTTAAGTAACCCACAGGTGTTAGCAATAGGCTTAAATTCATACCTATGACACTTGCATTCCCACCCTCATCAAGTATTGTAAGTCATGATGTCATTTACATGAGTTGAGAGCATGAGTGTCCGGGCATTTCACCTTTGCATTTATATGCCACTATTCACCTGGTCACAATTTGCCCATTATATAACATAGTACCGTACAATACCATTAAGCACAGGTTGTACACCTCGTTGTAATCCCTGTGACAAATCTGTATACAAATTAATTTCAAATCAAAGTTAATAATATCGAGATATTTATTAAAACCCATTTCATTAACATTTCGTTTTGATTTAACAAATATTTATATATTTTTTATTAGCATTTGTTTTGAACCATATTTTCGATATTCAATATAAAACTAAAATAAAAATATTACAAAAAACTATTTACGAAATAACTTATTATTATTAATACATTATAAAAAACCATTTAATCTCCGCTTCTAATCAGACAATGAAATCAATTGTCCGATAAAAAAAATCTCAATGAAAATTGTGTCTTAAGTGACAAACAGATTGTTATCGTATATAATATCCGTTAAGTCGTTGTGCGAAACGATGTCTAACTTCGGGCCAAAGTATTTGATGACATAATGGGAACCGTCTGCGGGTCCGACCACTTGCAGTGCGATCAGCAAAATGTCCACCAATTGGCCTAAGAATAGGAAGCCGAGGGTACAGAACTTGAGCAGACCTAAGGCCGGGTAACCCAAGTAGAAGCGGTCGGCGCCGAACATCCCTAAGAATATGGACAATAGGAGCGCCGTCTCGTAGGAGTAGCCGTTGGTGTGGCGGCACTCGATTGGCAGCCAAAACCAGCCGAAGCCCGTGTCCTCGCAGACGAGACCCGCGGCGAGCGTACAGTTGACTAGCGCTACGTTACTAGCGTTACAGCCCGACGGCTGTTGTGTGTCGGCGTCCATCTTAGGCCACGGACACAGGTATTGGCCCAACAGTGGTCGTCGGCGACAGTCGATCACATACGGCAACCGACTCTGGTTGACGGCCAAAGACAAAAGCCTTTCCGTCCCATCTGTTGGCTCTGACTTGTCGTCCGACTTCTGTATGGCTGACGAGGAATACGACGGCAACTGATTGTCGCCACTCTTTGACACGTCGTTTGATCGACGAGTTAATCGCTTTGTGTCTAAACTCTTGGCGTAATTGTCAGACACATCGACAGTGAACTCGTTGTCTGCCATCACGAAGTAGCTGTCGTTGTAGTGTCTGATCCGGTTGTACGACAAGTAGTGGTCACTCAACCCGTTGTTAGTCATCGCGAAAGCGATCATCACTTTCACCACAAGACACCCGAGGAATGAATAACTGATGAAATGGTGTCTTAAGTATCGACGGATACTATCGACGGACACGACAGCCATCGGGTGTGTGGTATGCGATCAATCACTGGTGAGTTGTCTCAAGACAATAGGTCTCAAACACATGGTGTGAGTGAATGTATGGCCAGAAATAAAGGCAAAGTAATCATGACTTTCACTACACTATTGTTTTTTTGTACACTATTTCCGTGTTTTATACACTATTTATAGCCACAGAAACTGTGTTTATAGTGTACTGTAGTTCACAATAAGCGGGTGTTTGTCATCACAACAATCGCTGACTGTTTTTGTGATTATTAAATTGTAATACAATTGTCATTCAATTGATTCAATACTTACATAATGTTTGCATTGATTGCATTCAAACTTTGCATTCAATGGTTGTGTGCATTGAAGTGAGTGTTTGTCTGAGAAATACTTGTGAAGCAATTGAAATGTAAACAAAACGAGTGCTAATCCGGTGTTAAGTGATCGCCAATACAGATGTCTCCACACATTCACCCATACATTCAGTATTGCTATGAAAATGATGTAAATTTTAATTTAAATTAAATAAAACTTATTTTATAACACAAAATGATTTAACAAAGTGTTAACTATTGAAGTCTGGTCTCAATGAATGGCCAAACGCTACAAGTGGTTAAATTATTGGCCAGTATTAGCGCCATAATTACGGTACGGGTGCTAATAGGGAAATTAATTATGATAATTTACGCACAGTAATTATGCTAAATTGGTAATGGTAACTAATTGGTGATCAGTTGCCAGGATATGAATATTGTTTAATTATGCATTTTTAATTATGAAATATTTGTTTAATTATAAGATTAAAATTGTTGATCACATCGAGTTTGCTAATCACACGAGATTTGATTTTCTTATTTATTTAATATTACTTTTAAGTTATTTCATTGAATTAAATCGAGATTTAATGGAAAATTTATGTTTTGATCTCATTTTTAAGTTTCTCTTCATTTTAAACATGAATTCTCTTCGGAATTATTTTGGAAACGGTTTCTAAAGCCCTTTTTGTGCAAAAATTTACTGCCTTTCAGTGAATGCATTGAAATTTCATTGAAGTTTTATCTCCTCTTTCTTTCAAGAGTTCTCTAAAAAATCTTATTTTAAATTGAATTGAAATTCAATGGAAATATAAATACAGTTGACGTTCGATATAGTGATTATATACACATTGCATAGAGTGAACATTCTATACGGTGTCCACAAATATATACCAACTGCTCGACCACTATATCGAAAGTTCACTGTACATATTATTCTGTGCGCTCAAGTTTTCAATACAAGACATACAAAATTATTATTTTGCAATACATTTTGTAAATGCATTTTTCAATTGATAAGAAATGTGCACAAATGTCATGGTAGTTTATTGGACTTATTATAAATTTAAGTTAAAAATGCAATTTAGAAGTAATAAGAATTCAATTTAGAAATCAATTTTATATTATGTAAGTTTTGGACATATATTCAAATAGTAAATTGCAACCAATATTGCAATTATCGAAATCATTATCTAATTTTATTCCTTAATTATTTGCTATTTCCTGCTTTTCCTTTCAATCTCTCTATGAGTTTATTTAATAATAAGTCCAATAAAATAGCAAAACACAAACAAATACATTGAATGAAGTCATTAATTTTGTATTAAATAAAAATAAAATATTGCACAAAAAAATTATGTCAAAAAATGATACAAATATTCTTAAGACAGACAAACAAAGTGAAAGACAGAGTAAGACAGTGAAAATAATGGTGCGATTTGTTGGCACTTTGTATGAGAATTATAGTCATTATTTTTTACTGAACATTACCCTCATCTCTCTCTCTCTCTCTCTCTCTCTCTCTCTCTGGGTTTCTTATTATTAAGCACGTTATCCATGATTTACAGGATAAAAAACATTTTGTATATAAAACACGTAACGACTAGTGTTTAGTAGTAAAACACATATCAAATAATTTATATGAATTTTAGTATTAAATTTGATTTGCGGAATAATTTGTTCAAATATAAGTAAATGCATAACTAATGAGCAGATAATGGATTATAGTTTGTCATATAATTTGTTTTTTCTAGATTTTATTTTAATAATTATACTAATAAATAGAAAGGATTTTTTCACTCGTCTTTATCCATTTTCTAAAAAATTAATCAATATTCTTGTTTTCACGACAAAAATATCCACATCTGATATATTATACATTGGTTTTAGTTTAAATTCTTTGTTAAATATATTTATGGATAGAAAATCTGATTAATTTGTATATCGAGAGAGAGAGAGAGAGAGAGAGAGAGAGAGAGAGAATCAGATAAACATCACATTGTAAAATTATTTCTTATACACATTTTGTTTATATTGTCTAAAATTTAATATCCGTTAAACACAACACTTTCTTATAATACAAGTCTTTGAGTGACTTTGCTTGTTATGTGAACGTGTAGTTTGACGTCTAGTATTGCTAACTGTTAGCACATAATGAGTAAGTGAGAGAGAGATCTAGTAAAATATGGACATGTAATCCATAACACAATGTCAAACATACCGATGTGTTTAAATGCGGGCAACTAAACATTGGACATGCATTCAAGTGGGTTGTGATGAGACATACAGTTAGAGTGACCAACTCACAATTTGCACAATCAGGAAATTTCATTAAAAATTCCGGGATATTTCCAAAACATTTCATTATTTTCACAGGGAAATTTTTGGTAACATGCAATTTTCCCCGGGAAGCTCTATAGTACCTGTAAAACTCCACCGAGACAAAATTTGCCAAACAGGGACTTGTTCCGCAAAACCGGGACCGTTGGTCACTCTACATTCAGTCTGTCACGGAATACACAATACAATTATTGCCTGTAAAATGAATGCAATTATTGAAAATCTAGTCGACAGTTATAGTCGTCTGCACACAATATACGATAAAACAATGGCATATATGAAATGCAAAATATATAAATTTTCACTTCATTTCTAACCATTAATTTATTATATAATTGTCAAAACACTTGAGTTGAGCGCACATTCTGTCGACAACAGGCGCCTGGCCTTCACTGACACACAATAATCGTAATAATAATCATAACTACAGAACCGTTGAATCGTTTCAACAGAATCGACGGAATTTGAAGAATTTTCAGCATTTATTTGCTTTCAATGAAATGTTTGTGATTTGAAATCCTATATATTTTCTCACAACAAAACACACGAACAAAATGTTTTGTTGATATAATTGTTATTTTCTGTGATATGTATTAAGAGATTATTATAATGCAGTAAAATATTGTGAAAACAGTGCATTAGTATTAGTCGTCGTGTTTACTGTACTGTAAAATAATGCAATCATTTGCTTGTATTTTACCAAATGATAACACAATTGCAAAAATTAATTATTGTTTTTCAATAATCATTATAAGAATCCCTTTAAATGCTTTGCTTTGCAATCAAATAAAATCCATTGTAGAAAATATAAATATATACATTGAAACCTTTATTCTGACTTTGAACGACTTTGGTAGGATTTAATTTCAATGATAGTAAACAAATAAATTACTAAAACATGTACTATATATACTGTATCAATTTGGTAAAATAATGGTTAGTAATGGGTGCACCTGGATACTAACAATTTTCTAATTAAAGTAGCGTGTAATCGATTTTATATAGTATAATAATAGACACGTTTATAACACATGGTTGCATACTGTACAGTCATTTCTAGTGTTTTTATAATTAAAATTAATGTGACTTTTTTCATAATTAGATAATACGGTCTAATTGTGGAGAATTGTCCAAAAATGTGTCTAAAAAGTAGAATATACTATAATTAAAGTCAGGGAATGTTTATGCGGTGTCACATAACTGTCTACACAAACAAATACTACGTTATTGTGACAGTTAATGATAGAAACATCTCTCTCTCTCTCTCTCTCTCTCTCTCTCATGAATAATAGTGTTTTAATCAACGAAATTGTTTTATAAAATATTTAATATGTGGCAAAAAATTAAATGTTTAGTTGCCCGCATTTAAACACATCGGTATGTTTGACATTGTGTTATGGATTACATGTCCATATTTTACTAGATCTCTCTCTCTCTCTCTCTCTCTCTCTTAAAATGTCAATCTTTGAAGAAATTACAAATTTATATTTTTCTCTCTGCTCTCTCCTCAGATATTTTTAGATAAATACTTTTCATCGTTTAATGCAAAGAAATTGTATGCAATAATCCTATATATTAATTAAATTATGTTTGTAAACAGGGTGCATAACAATTGCCGGATATCTCGAGACATTGTTGGAAATTAATTTAATTTAAATTTATTTTTTACGGAGAGTGTGCTGGGAGTGTATGGGGGAGTGTTGTGAGCCTACTTGAGAACACCGGGAGGCTATGGTAGAGCACCGGGAGGCTATGGTAGAGCACAGTGAGGCCATGGTAGAGCACCGGGAGGCTATGGTAGAGCACCGGGAGGCTATGAGGCTATGGTAGAGCACAGGGAGGCTATGGTAGAGCACAGGGAGGCTATGGTAGAGCACAGGGAGGCTATGGTAGAGCACAGGGAGGCTATGGTAGAGCACAGGGAGGCTATGGTAGAGCACCGGGAGTCTACTGGAGCCGCAAATTTTCATCTATAATACTTATAAAAACTAATATAAAATCTAAACTACATGTCCGATTTTAATAATTCTTTTTTTAATCAAACGGTTTGAGGAACCGTGTTATGTAATTGCACAAAATATAATGGTGCACGACGGGTATATGCTAGTGTGTTAATTAAATAAATATAATCCGTATTTTAGTAAAACTTTCTTTAATTTTTTGCCACATATTAAATATTTTATAAAACAATTTCGTTGATTAAAACACTATTATTCATGAGTGAGAGAAAGATTTTATTTTTAGTATTTAAATTGTAATTGTTATAAATTAATTATATGCTTATGTCTGTGTAATATTGTAGGAGCTCGGGTGCTCCCGAGGTTCGGGTCTGGTCAAGTCAGGTCACTCTCAGGACTCACA